GCCTCGCCTCACCGGCGGGAGCCCATTGGTTCAGCAATACGTCTGCTCCGCGCTGATTGGCCGCAGGCGAGCGGCGGCGCCCTGTGCCGGGGATTGGCGGGAGGGCTGTCATTCACCTCTGGCACGCGCTGTGATTGGCTCAGCCGCGCCTGAGGCGAGACAAAAGTGCCCGCGGCGCTGCCCCCGCTGAGGGCCCCGGGGAGCGGGGGGTCCACTGAGGGAGTCCTGCCGCCCCCTCAGCGCCCTCCCGACCCCCTCATGCCCCGCTGTCCCCACAGACACCGCCCAGGACACACCCTCGCCCACCAACGCCCCTCCCTGGCACCCACTCGGCCACGCAAGGCCTGGTCCCTCGCACTCATGGCCGTGCCGGCCCTGCAGGTGCCTCAGGAGGTGTCGTGGAGCGGCTCCAACGTACAGGGATGAGCTACTTGAGAATCATGACCAGCCTTAATATTAACAGAGGGAAGAGCTGAACTGCTAAAACTACACACAGATTAGAAAAAATAAAACGCTGTGGTCCTAAGACCTATTAAAAAAAAAAAAATCTTGGTTTTTTTTTTTTAAAAAGGCCGAACCAAGGCCATTGTGCTGCAGGAGGTGTTGGCACAAGGCCGCCAACTTCAACGAGGGCAGAGACACAGCAAGGGCCTGCAGGACACAGGGCTGGGCAGGGAACACACCTCAAAAAATGTGGTGCAATAAAATAATTTGCAGTATCAGTGTATTATTTTGCAGCAGTGGATTGCTGCATGAAAATTGAGTTCCAGCACATGGTATGGCAGCAGGAATACAAAGCCCAGCAACGCTGCTCACCTGGCACGAGGCTGCACATTTTGTGTCCTGTATCTGCTGCAAACACCAGCACAAATCTCTCACAGCACAGTTTAAATTATCACATATTGGCTGCTGACCCATCTGTCAAACCCACCTCTGGCTTGGTGACTGGGAGCTTCCTGAACTCCCTGTGACTTCCACGCACACACAGATGCTTCCTTGCTCATCACTTTTGCTGCAAAATCTACACATCAGAACCTGCCACTGCAAATATTATTTCAATGAGCACTTGGATAAAAGAGGAAAGTTCCATCCATCTCTCTCAGTCTGCACTAACGACCAGCCTTAATATCCCCATTTTCTCTGGAAAGTATTTCTTTTTGGTCTGGAAAACACAAAGATTGTGCCACTTCACTCTATGTACAACATGAGATGTCCAGTGTCTGAATTATCACCAGCCTTAATATTACCACAGGGAAGAGTGGAACTGCTAAAACTACACACAGGACCACAGTGTTTTATTTCTTCTAGTCTAGAAAACATAGAAAAAAAATTATTTTTTTTTTCCAAAAAAGCTCCAGCCACTATTTAGATCCCCAGGGAATTCTCTGTTGCGTCACATCTTTCTAGAGGTAGATTAAAGGGAAATTTTAAGCTAGATGACACAGTTGTTTTAATTCTATTATCCCTTAGGCTTGGGCATTAAGAAGTCAAATGACACCTACCTGCACACAGGTAGAGCATCTGCTCACTCGGGAACTTGCAGAAATATTTTGTCATCTAAATGCTTTTTATTCAGACCCACAGAATTTGACTCTTAAATTTGTACCCCTGAGACACAAAGAGCCTTTTTTTTTTAAAGTCAAGATGAAGAAAAGCCCGTTCCCTCTGACAAAGCCGGTTTTAACACACAGCTTTAAAATTCTAAACCTTCAGTGTTTTCCAAGGGGCTGCACTGATCTCTCACAGTCCAGGCTGCAGGGTGGCCTTTAAATCAGCTGCTTTGCTGATTATTTATACATAACATGAAGGGGTTTATGAAGATGGCTACAGAAACTGGGCTTAGGATCCATCTCAGGATGGTGACATTTGACCAGAACAATTCTCAGCAGCTGTTTGAAAGGCTCAGACACCAAACAATTCCACCTGTTGTTGAAATTCCACCAGCAAGGAATGCAAGAAGCATCTGGAAGTCTGAACGAGACTCCAGGAAGTGCAAGGGTTAGGCAAGGAGAGATACCACTGGTTTGAGAAAAGCCTCAGCTTGGTCATCCTCTCGTGACCCAGAGTTTCTTCATGCCAGGCTCTGCTACTTACAGCAGTCACAAAGAGCATTCCTGCTTTATTCCAAGCACAGGGTACAAAAAAAAAAGATGTTTTGACTGAGTTTTCTCTTCTTTCCTCATTTCTTTCACAGCTGAAGGTAAAGTGTCAGCTAAAAAACACCCCTTGCCACAGCTGGATTTGCTCCATGGAAGATGGTATCCTACAGATCCAATGGTTTGTCCCATTGAGCTGATGCTGTCGTTTGCAAGGGTTCTGGAAGTTGCTCTGATGCCTCTCTACATCTTCAGGAAAAGTTCTTGTCTGGGAATCCAGCACTACCAGTGTCCTCCAAAGTGCTGCTCCTTATTGGAAAAAGAGGCATCTCTGAAAGGGTAAGTCAGTGGCCCAAAGAGCTTTCATTCCAATTTTTGTCTTGCTTGAGTTTGCTTAAACTCAGGGAAAGTTTTCTTAATCAACTGATCCTTCAAGAGCCCTTGCAGGGCATCAGATGTACTTTGATGCTGGAAGGGGGGAGACCTAAATCACCAAAACCAGCACAAAATTCACCACAAAGGGTGTCCTTTGAATCCAAGTCTCCCTGAAGAATATTCCTTTCTAAATAAGAAACACTATTTACTATTTGTACATATAATTTGTACATTTTAACAACCTTAGTCTTTCCTCAGCACTCCAAAGTCATTCTCATATTGGGATTGTTTAAACCTACAGGTCTTCCCACAGACCCCATTCCTCCTGCAGCTCCTCACCAACTCATCCCTTGTCCTTCTCCAGCACCTGCTGCCCTTCCCTTCTGGGATCTCTGCTGACACTCAGCCACTCCTTTCCCAGCACCACCAGCCACACCTCACCCCTCCCATGCAAACTGAAATTCTTCAGGGACAAGGGTTAAAACTCTTCCCTCAAAGGGACTCCAACCACTCCATAAATACCAGCTGGGGCTCCCAGCACCTCCATGTTAGAATAAGACCACTATCCCATGGAGTTAGGGAAGGAATCAGGGAACCCCTGTAATTAAGCACCTTGAGGGTCAACCAAAAACTTAAAAACAGGGATCAAAATTCCATCTTTCATTTATCCTCACACTCCTACATCCTAAACACCCAGGAGAAGTGCTGTGCCACCAATTCATTCTGACACTAAGCACAAAAAAGTAAGACAAATTACAGGATTAAATTATTCCCTATCAGAACACATTTAGTTTGGCAACTGGTTACAGCCAGAATGAACAAACCTCAATAATCCAGAGAATGAAATGTATTAATTAGCATGATAATATAATTAAGAGTGATCCAAGTTATTTGCTTTCAGATTGTCTTTTAGTACTCCACAACAGTCCATCACAGCAGCTCACACACTGTACTCAGGAGAGGCCACTATCTAAAACTCTAAGAAAAATATTTCAATTTATTGTTCACTTTTAATTTAATAGATGATGATCAAGGAAGCATCTCATTTTTCATTTTCAGCTTTGAAAACAAATTGCTATTCCTTAGAAATCCAGTTATTTCCAACTGGCTGAAGACTAGGAAGTCTCCTCTCTTGGAGGCAGTCACATTATTCCTTTTCATTAATGTTGCAATAACAGACACAATAGAACCAGTATCCAACAGACAAACAACAGCACTTATGTTACACTGACTTGGAAGTAATGAAGTGAAGGTACTGGAGAGGAATATTCCTGCTGGAAAATAATCTCACTTTGACCTTAACCCTTGCAGAGATGCTGTACCTGCTCTGATATTGCAGTTATCTTGGAGCAGCAATTACCTTAGTGTTACTTCAGGGATTTTTCTTTTGTTGAGGACACCTCCATATGCCAGGACAGCAATCCCTCTCATGTTACCACTTGGAGTATTTCCTTACACTGTTGGCACTTCAGCAGATTCCATTTCAGAGCAGCCTTCGACTCCCAGAACCCCTTCTGAACCAGCACTTCAGGGCACTCCACACTGACCCTTCACAAGAGCCCCCTCTGGATGGCTGAGATCCCCAGGGTGCGGATTTTCCCACTGATTTCCAGGTGTTAACATCTGTCATTATCTGCCCTGCACATGAATAAAAACGTCTCACTAAAGGCACCTGAAACAAACCTTTTTAAAAAGGTCCTGTCCATTCCACAACTGAAGCTGTGTGAGGGACTGGAGCCTCACCACACCCTGAAGGCAGGGCCTTACCACCCACAGGACTCACCAGGGCATTGCATCCAATTATGACTTACTCCATTCTTTTTCACTTTAAAGCCATGGGAGGAATATTAACTAAATTGCACAGCAATCACTTCAGAACACATTATTTGAAAATTGTGGGTAATAATATAATTTGCCCAGGCTCTTGAAAGATCCCAGCTGTTTAATAAACATGAAAAACTTACCTCCCAACCAGCCTGACAGGACCTCTTTGCCCAGTTTCTCTTTATCCTCCAACACAAGGACTTCTAGCAGTCCATGTGGCTACCAGTGCAAACATGAGAACTGCCACAAATCAAGCCAGGCCGAACAGCAAAGTGAACTCTGAACAGTTTGATCCAAATTTTTCATATCCCTGTAGTTCATATCACTTCCAAATCATCATCCCTGGCAGTAGCTTCCTTAGAGGAGACAGTCACAGCAAAACCACTGAGGTTCCAGCAATCAGGAATCCACAGGTAAAATTTCTGACACCAGAAGAACAGTAATGGACAAGCCACAAGGAGAGTATTTGCAAGACCACAGAGGAGAGTTCTAAAAAAATGGTTTTTTTAAATAAAAGTTCAGTATTTCTGCTTACTGTTACACAAATGTGTTATGTATGCGAACCAGAATCAGAATTCAGCCCACTTCAGTTTGCCAGACTAAAGGAAATTCAATGTTTGAGGCTCTTGAGGAACTAAGTCACTGAAGTTCTTTGAGACAGTTTCTTGCTTGTTTAATCTAATCAAACAAACATTTCAGACAAGACCATTTCATCAGTTTTTGACTGCAGCCACCACCTTACATAACACCATTCAGTACTGTTAGAGGAATCATTTCAGAAATATGAGGAACAAACCCAGGTAACAGCAGTAAGACATAGACAAATGTAGGTGAATCCCATACACAAGTTCATGACAGATGAAGTAACACTCCACTAATTCAGGAAATGAAGACATTGTTTTTAAAAGCTCTTCAGTACCTGTCACTTGACTTCTGTTGCCTCAGGAAATAAAAAAAACACACCAGGCAAGACACAACAGGGAGCTTTGAGCTTCACAGTCTTAAGTTGAGCTGAAAAAAAAATTGTATTTAAGGAGACCTCACCCTTTCTTCAGAAACTAAAGCAAGTCCAAACACCTTTTTTGGCCAAACAAGATAAAGACAGCTTTCTCCTGGGAAAAGTCTTGGCAGGACATCAAGTTGAAAGAATTTTATACACTGATATCAGAAGTTTAGCCAGCTTAAAAGCCAGAGACTCTAAAGCCAAAGAGCAATGTATTCCATGTGTAACTCAGGAAAGGTGCTGAAATATATTCCCCCACCACCCTCTTTTTTAGATGAAAGTATTTTTTTTCCAGGCCTTTGTGAGTTTGGATATGAAAACATTTGTTCACAAGAGGGAATTTCAACCTTGTAACACACCACAGAAGTCTACAAGATACACACCAAAATAAGAAATACTCTGCTTAGCAGGAGCATTTCCTAGAATTAAAACAAAGGCACACAGCAGGTTAAATTCTTCAGCTACAGAGTCAAAAGCCACTGCAAAAACAGACCCTATTTTTCCTTTAGATGTAACTGATGTAGCATCAAATGTATTAAATCCTGACACAAGTCAAATGGATCACAATTCATCAGCTACATGCACAGAGCCACCATTCTGCCCCAAAGGATTTCCAGACCGAGCAGGCACAGGCCTCACATACAATAATCACTTCTTGAATTAACTATTACAAAAACTACCACCAAAAAGTGACCTCTTGTAACAAATTAATATCTAAAAGAGCATTAGCTTACTGCAAACACTACAAAATAGTGGAACATTCCTAGGACATCAGGGACTGCTGTGGGCCTGTGGGGTTGACAGGTATATAATCTCTCATGAACATCCATGGATTTCACTGCAACCTCTAAACTCCCCCAAGAAGTTCCCCAAGAAGAACTTTGTGGAAAAGACTCGTGAAAAACATCATCATCACTAGCTCCCTTCAGTACTTCCAGCCTTTCCCCCTTCCAAGCAGGAACAGCACAATGGGGTAAAGCAGAGCTTGGAATCTCCACCACCACAGCTAAATGCAGCCAAAAAGAGAACTCAATTTTTTATTTTTGCTTTACATTTCCAAGCATCTCCCATTTGATACCATGGTAAACTGAATGGTTAACGAAATTATTTGCTCTTTTTAACTCAATGTTTACATCAAAAAGCATTCAAATACAGAGTCTTAAGTAAACTACTGCAACAACAATATTGATGCTTCTAATAAAGAATAACAAAAAGAGCTCAATCCAAGGCATTACTAAGTAGTTCAGTATTTTTCAGTTTGCCTAATCAAACAATTTTGGCTTAGCAGAACATTCACAAAAGAAAGAAATCAAAATAAAACTGACTTCTATTTCCAGTTCAACTGCTGACTGACAGGTCTCAAGGCGGCCTTTGATTTTCCAACAATCTTCTGACTACACTAGGAGGATTATGTTTACTTACCACAGAGAAAGCTGAGATTTGAGAAGCATAAAGTGCTGCAGAGAGAGAAATACAGGTGCTGAGTAGTAGTACTCCACAGAAAAAGAAAGAAAACTGGTTATTTTAAACAAGAAGTTTATTTAAACAACAAGACGCTTTACTTGAAGGGAAAACTATCTAGAATTTTTTTTCCTTTTTTTTTTTTAAAGAGTAATTTACCCCTACTTAGACAGAGATTGCTCTACATGTAACAGCTACGTACAAAAAAGTTATAAAATTGCCCTTGGTTTTACAATGATAAAGAAAAACATTGAAATTATCCAATCAAACAAGGTATGCAAGGTTTTTGTTTTTAAACAGTGAGAGCAAAATAACTTACTGGAATATAAAGATAAAAGTAGAAGGAGCATGCCACTAACGGAGAGAGGGGCATTTTCACAGAACCAGTTTGTTTTCCCACCCCATCTCCATTAAATGTTGATCAAAACATACCATTGGCCATTTAGTTAAAAAAAATATGCATTATGTCTGTGCACGTCACCAGTTACTTTATGTACAATAGAAGGAATAGGAAAAAAATCAGAGAGAAGAGAGAAAACTATACTGCAGTAGTCAGGATGTGGCTGAACCAAGTCTCATTTTTCTAATTGTGAAGTGTTGCCTGCGGGAGCACAGTTCTGGAGAGGAAAGTAGCAGGTTCTTTTTTGTGTTTTTGTTTTAGTAAACTCCTCCTGTTTGCTGCTGGAACACATCAATTGTATCTTCATCCTCCATTTCCAACTAGAGCAGAAAAGAGAAAAAAGGCTTTCAACTCTTCTCAGATCCCTGCCACAGGCTGGGTTGTTCTTGCAGTTCCTATCTTTGTGTTTACTTTTTAACCAGACCAGCCCCACTCCCCTCCACCATCACCCCTTTGTACATTTAACCTCGCTAACTCAAAAGCAAAGAAACTGCACGGAAAGAAAATGCCAGCTTGTAACTGTTGTCCTGGAATGAATTCCAGTGTTAACTTCACAGTGCATTGCATGACTCCTAGGGAAGAGATTCACAATATTTTACTTCTGTTGCCTGCTTTGCCACTGCATCTTTGTTCTCCTATTTCCTCCCTCAGTTTACCTTAGAACACTGCCACAATTCCACTTGGCTGCTGCTGTTCAAACGTGCAAATGGCTACAGCACTGAAGAAGCAGACTGGAATTAAGGCCTCTTCCCAGCCAGGCAGTAAAACCAAGGATCAGCAAGCACAAAAAAAATTGAGAACTCTTTACATGTAGCCATATGACAAACTGCCAGTGAGGAACAGCAATACTTCATTTTTAGAATTCTCTTTTCTTACTGTAAATTTTTTACAGTTAATATTCCTGGGATGTTTATGTCCCCTACTGACAAAATCTCTACCAAGACTGAAGGAGCTGCTATAACTAATGCAAGTTTTATTTCTAAATAGTCTCAACTGCTGTTCAGGAAATCAAACTGGTCTAAGGCATTTACCACAGCTATATATAGACTGATACCGAGCTTCAGCAAAACATGGATGGAGAGAAAAGCACTCTGTTGCCTCAATTATCAGTATTCCAAGTTAAAAAGTTGCATAGACTGTGACCATTAGAGGCACATTCTTTGAAGCAACAGCTTAGAAAAGTTAGACCTAAAAACAAGAGTCTCTTATTTCATAACAAGTGGTTCTGAACAGCAGATAAAACTGTATCACTTGGACAGGCTGGTTAAACACAGCTATGTGGAGAAGTACAGAAAAATACTCAAGAATCACAGTGAACTGTTCTGTTCTTGGAATGTCCCCTGTTCAGCCACTTAGAGACAACCCAAACTTCTCCATAATTTTATGTTGCTGAAACAGCTTCAAACTACAAACAACAGAAAATTACGTTTGTATTATATATTGTATTTTGCAAGCTTGCAAACGGGATCTCTGATAACATCCTGGCAAGCTTTTATGTAAAACATACAGCCATGGCTTCAAGAAAAACTCAATTCTTAACCTACCATCCTTACCTCAGAGCCATGACTCAATAAAGTGACAGTTTTACAGGACCCACCATCTGCACACTGCACTTAATTTTCTTATTACAGTGATAGAGACTTATTACTCAAAACACTAGATAAAGTCCTGGATTGCACTTCTAATAATTCTAAACTAGTTACACCAAAATAATGATAAAAAAAATATCCAGTTCTATCACTAACATATACATTTACACAAGTATTTTATAGGAAACAGAAGCATCAACTCCTGCAGCAAACTTGCAGGGTTTTTCTGCAGTTCTTCAGCCTTGCTGTTGCTGTTTACCTGTGCAGGTGTGTCTGTTTCATTAATTGGCTGCCCATCGAACCGGAATCTGATTTGCCTCATTGACAACCCCTGGACAAAGAGAAGCAACACAAAGGGATGTTAAGTCTGGTGTAAAAGTACTCACTGGTTTGCTCTTGAACTTGTCACTGAATTGCAGCACAATCATTAAAAGCCACCATAATGCAGGACAGAGTTTTTGTACTCCCCTCATGCCCTGACTTTTAGGCATTTCACTCCAAATCCCTGCAATCTGTTTTGTATTAAACATTGCATTGTGTCCAGCAACCCAGAGAAGCAACAGTGCCCCCACTGACTGAGAGTTAAAATAAAGCCATTCCTGGTACACTCCAAAGGCCAGAAGGTTTATTGTGCTTTTGAATAATTCACTGACAAAACAGATGCGACACTCCAGGTAACAAATGCCAAACAGTGATATTCAATACTCCTTCTTGATCTTCCCCAAAAACAAAAGGTATTCTAAAATATTTTTCCCAGAAATGAAACAATAATATTAATCTTCAGCAGCAAAGAGTAAGAAATGGGAGCTTTTTATGTCGAATTCCTATTATCAAGAAATCAAATGTTTTTCCATGCACAGATGGAACTTCCAAATAAAATAAAGGAACCTTCTACTGCCAGTAGTATTTTGAATAAGCATTTCTACCACACGACACTCGTTTTGCTGACCTCTTCCATCCCTGTAATACTTCTCATTCTCACCTGAGCCAACAGATTGAAAAACATAACTTGGGAGCAACAACTCCTTTTACTGATAATATCAGCTAAAAAATCAATAGTGAGATTTCAGAGGTATTTTAGAGACCACATTCTGCAGAAGGTGAATGACATTTGGGGATACAACCAGAGCCTTGGTCTCTACTTCCTTCCCAGTTCTGTCTATTCCCTCTGGAGTATCTAAATATCCAAGAAGCCTCGCTGGGTTTTGAAACCAATCCAGTGGATTGCAGGGTCGTGCTTTGGCATCTCTGAGTTAGAACAGAAGCCTTCACTTAGCTTTGCAAGAGCGGATGTAACACACAAAGGAAAACAATGTAGTAATTATTTTTGAGGAGTAGATTTGTCAGGGAAACATATTTTAATAAATACAAGTAAACTTTTTCATTAACTTAATACTTCACAGCAAAATGCCTCCTCTAGCAGGACTGAGACTCTGCAGTGTTCACTCAGAGCATCCTCTGGTCTAAAAAAACTGTGTGGCTCAGTGTCATGGCAGCAACACGTTTCTGCACAGCAACATTTGGTTGGAGCCCTTCTCTCTGACATTATGGTACTTAAAATACGTATTTCCTATTCCCAAAGTGATGTTTATTGCAGGTTCCTGACAGCTTTACATGCTGAATAAATGTCAGCTGAAACATACTGAGAAGTTCTACTTTGGTGGGATTAGTGTCCACAAAACATTGAGTTTATGTTCCACGGATGATTTTTTCACCACTTAAAATAATCACAAGTAGCCTTCATCTTCTAAACAGATCATTCAAGGTTTAGTTACTTCCATTTTAGGTCTACTACACACACTAAATGATTTTCATTCTTTAAAGCTGCCAAATCCTCTACTGTACCACCTCTCCAAAGTGAAATCTGAAGTCCACAGCTGAAGGATTTTAAGCCTGAGTGTACCTAGTTAGGTAAATAAATACATGAACAAAATCTAACTTTTAGAGACGTGCAGAACAAATGCTTTTAAACAAAGTTTGAGAGGCACCTAAGAAATAAAATGTAAAGGCAACTCCATCTCCACAGAAATATTCTTTGGATAGCTACCAGCTTAAAACTGAAATCAGAACAAATCTCTCCCACTCTCAAGATTTACTAATTTTTTCCTCCAATTGTCACCTGGGGGTTTTTTGCTAGTTTTGTTTTTGGGTGTTTTTTTTTTTTTCTAAGCAGAGTAGACATTTTGGTGAGAAGTTCTAGAATCTTACTTTTGCTTGTTTCAAAGTAACTGAAGTATGAATGGTTACTTCTCATTTCCCTCATTTCCCAGGACAGACAAATAGCCACTCCTCAAACTCCCAAAAAGAGATACAACTGGACTTTATGACTGGAAAAAGCAACACACAGTGATTTGCAAAACATAACAAGATTTTGTATGACTGAGGTAGGAAAAACAAGCTCACAGGTTCGAGCATTCACTAATTTATCCCCAGAACACTCACACAAGAACATATTCACATGTTCAGTAAGAGCTGATTTTTCTCTTTATTCATATCCTATTGTGGCACAGGGTAAGCCAAAGAGGTTTTACCACTCTGTGGGTGAATTGCAGTTTGTTTTTCTTGGTGATTAAATACTTTATTCTGACTTCACTTGTATTCAATAGTATAATTGAATATTTCTGGTTTTTTTAAAAAAAAAAAAATTCCAAATTCTGAACACTTTTGTAGAGCTGGAACTTTTTAAAGGCAGACAGTTATTAGAAAAAAAAATCATGGAGAGCAGAGACAAATTTTTTCTTATCAAAAGCTTCAGAAGAAAACGTTCCATAGCAATACTCAAACAGGTGTTTTTAAAACTTGCAATAGCTGCCTGCAACTGCCACCACACCAACAAAATACATGGGTTTTGTCCCTCAGAGGATTAATTTGTCAACTAAGCCACAAGAGAAAAACCAAGGTCATCATTAAATGGAGAAGCTCCTTCTCAAACTAGATATCCTCTCATGTCAATACAGTAATACTAAGATAATAAATGACAAGTCAGTGACCAGACCAAGAAGTTACTCAGAGCTATAAAAATCCCTGATTATCACTCAACCCTCTCTCCTGAGTTCATATCAAACCCACCCTTTCCACGCTGATATTTCTGAGCAATAGAGCAGCAGTTGCCTCCCAACAGCCTCCACCTATAAATGCAGATTTCACAGATAACAACCCATCTTTATTTCACCCATTTCCTGTCACAACCCTCTCAGTCCCCCCTGTTAACAGACCCTCAGGACAATACACTTTCCACAACACAATCAGTTTCTGTTAAATCTCTACCATTTTGCATATTTACATAGTTTTAAGACTGCAAGTGTCTTCATCTATCCCTGTGGGGATCGCTGTCCCCCAGACACCGGTTCTCCTGAGATCATACCTGTCGTTCACAATAGGCTTTCATTAGTTTACTAAGTGGTGTGTGCCTCTTAATCTTAAACTGCACCACAGACCCATCTTGCCCTGCCACCTTCAGATTAATGTGGTCATTGTTTTCAGTCTTCACTCCTTCCTGTGGAGGAAATAAAAGGAAAAAAAAAAAAATAACCAACACTTTTTTTAAAAGGTATGAAACAAGAAGTTAACATTTTACCAAAGTGCAACAGGTCATTAGAAAAGGAGGAAATAAAGATACTATAGCTGTTTACTGACTTGAAACCTTGAATAGAAAATAAAGGTCAGGAGTTTTTATTTGAAAATTTAAAGAAAAAAGCCACGTACAAAAAAAAAACCACAACCCGAAATCCTACTAATATTAGCTGTCATTCTGGAGACTGGCAAAGTAGCAATGAAGAGTTACTAGGCCAGTCGTTTAACAGATTAAAAAAAAAAAAAAATAGTTATTTCTATGAAGGGCACGATAATATGCAACAGTGTTGCCAGTGAAAGGGATGAAGTTATCTGTGTTATAACAACGATCTGTTATAACTTTGTTCTGTGTTATAACTGTGATCCCAACCACCAGCAAGGCTCTTTCTCGCAGTATCTCAAACTTTTTCCTACCGGTTGAGGTACTCCTGAAGAAAACTTTCAAGATACTTTAAAAGGCTGTGTTTGAAAAGGTGACAAAACCTGAAGCGACCCAAAGCCTCCCCGTCAGAAGAGGTTTAAGAACCCCCCCCTAACACGCAGCCCGACCCTCCCGCTCCCTTTGGGAGGGGAAAACTGCGGAGGAGCGACTTCCAGCTGGGTCTCCCGTGTTCTGGGGGGCAGGGAAGGGGATCCAGCCCGTCCCGCTCGGGGGGTACCCGGCACCCACATCCCACAGCCCAGCTTTGTTTTCCCTCTTCCCTGCGCGCCGGGTCCCGCCATGTGTCCGCTCCGCGCCCTCCGCCACTTCGAACTCGGGTTAAAAATTGTTGGGGGAGAAAAAGATATATAAAAAAAAAAAATAAGGAGAGGAAAAAACCCCCCCAGACTATCCAACCCCTCGTCCGTGTCCCTGTTAATTCCTGCGGTGGGGAGCGGGGCCCCCGCGCCCCCCCGGCCCGAAGCGGGGCTGGAGGCAGCACAAAGGGGCCGGAGCCGAGCGGAGACCGTGTGGGCAGCGGCGGCCGGGGCGGCCACGGGGATGCTGCGGCCGAGCGGCGGCAGCAGGAGGAGGAGGAGGAGGAGGAGGAAGGCAGCAACAACCGCCTCCAGACCTGCCTCTCTCCCCGCGGAGGGCGGGAAGGCGGCCCGGGCTCGCCCCCCCCTCCCCGGGGATCCCCCGCCCGCCCCGGGAGCCGCGGCCGCGGCCCCCCCCCAGCCCGCGCAGGAAAATGGCGCGCAAAGGCGGCGCGGGGGCCGCGGGCCGGGGCCGCCGCCTGAGGGGCCGAGCGCGGCGGCGGGAGCGGCGGAGCGCGCCGGCCTCACCTTGGGCTTCTCGTCGGCCATGGCGAGTCGGCGATGCGGGGGCGGCTCGGAGCGCGCACAAAGGGGGGGCAGAGCCGGCCGAGCGCGGCGGAGAGAGGGAGAGAGAGGGACAGAGAGAGGGGAAGGCGGGGGGGGCCGGGAGCGCGCACGCACAGCCGCGGGACCGCGCCTTGCCCCCGTGCGTGCGCGTCCCCGCCGCGCTCTCCCCCCCCCTTCCCGAGCGCGTCCCCGCCGCCCATTGGGCCCCGGCGCGCGGGGAGGGGGCGGGGCCAGGCCCTGGCGGGGGGAGGGGGGGCAGGAGGGAGGAGGGGAAGGGAGGGGGAAGGGAGCGCGCGCGCGCCCCGCGGCCGTTACATAACGCGGCGGCGGCGGGAGGGGAGGGGCGCGCGCGCGCCCCCGGGCCCGCGCTGCCCGCGCGCTGCGTGCGCGCGCCCCCGCCCCGCCCCGCGCGGCGGGCATTGTCCTCCGCAAAATGGCCGCCGGGCCGCCCTCACGGCCCCCTGAGCGCCTCGCGCCCTTCCCCAACACTCCTTCCCCTGGCGATCCCCCTCGTGTATGACCTCCTCAAATATTAAGTCTCCCCAAAACCGACTTGCCACAACCCTATCAGTGCCTCCTCAGCACCTCATGCCGCTCTCCCCCCACACACACACACCTTCCTCTGAGGATCCTTCTTGTCTCGCCCTCATCTTGGGCCTCCTCATATTTTAAATCTCAAAGCTGCCCAGCCACTCGCCAGTGCCCCCTCATAGCCCCCTCAGTGCCCCACACAGCGTTCTCCCCCCACGCACCTTCCCCTGACCATCCCCAGCCCCACTGAACGGGCTGCCAGAGAGGTGGTGGAGTCCCCGTCCCTGGAGGTGTTCAAGGAAAGGCTGGACATGGCACTCAGGGCCCTGCTCTGCTTGACATGGTGCTGGATCATAGGTTGGACTTGATGATCTCAGAGGTCTTTTCCAACCCAATTGATTCTGTGATCCCTCTCATCTCAGCCTCGTCCTGGGCCTCCTCAAATCTTCCCCCCCGCTCATGTCTTTGCTGTGTTATGGATGACACTGATGGAGGCTCCGGGGTCTGGCACCCACACGGTGCCCTCCAAAACCCCTGGCTGCCCCGGTGAGGGAGAGGTGCAGTGTCTGCTAAGGGAACAGAGTCCCTGCCACATCCCAAAAAGGCACCTTCAATTGAACTAAATTCAGTCAAGGTTTATGTGTGTTCTTCAGCAAGCTGAAGGCATGATGCAGCACTCCAGCAATTACACTACATAAATTATACTATACAAATCACAGGATATACCACCAATGATGTGATTTCTTCAAGTTCATTCCAGTGGAAGGGAAGAGGAAATTCTCAGTTACTCCAGGGATTTCATAGGTTCCCACAAAATGGTTTGGTGCCTTTTTTCTTCAGCATTACACCCACCACGATCATTTGTTCAACTGTTTCTCTACATCACATAGATGGAAAAGAAACACCCCAAAAATGACCGTTGTCAACACCTCAGGGATGGATTTCCCAGGCGGGCATCGTTCCACACTGGTGCTGCTCAATGTGGGAACACACTCGAGGTCATGGCACAGAGGTGGCCATGTGGTCACACATACTCTCTGCTTCCGGCATGACAAAACTTCCTGCACCATTTTGGAGATGTTCCTTGTCCATAATAAACTACTGAAATAGTGAAATATCAAGTGAAGAAAAAGTCTGTTTACAGGCAGAGCCCAGGCTGCCAGGCCCCCTTTTCACTGTCAGCTCTGATTCGCCTCCTCTGCCTGTGTTACTTCACATTCCAGCTCCTTCCGAGCGCAGACACAGGGATTGTTTTTTTCTGGAAATTGAAGAACAGTAACACCCACTGAGCAGAGGAAGTCAAAGCCAAACCTTTATCCGAGTCCACAGTTGAGAAAATAACACAGGGACAGCCCTACCTGAGGCAAGCAGGCAGCTGAACTTCCACAAAATACTGCTGTGAAGCCTTTTACCATCTCCTTGTAGTCCAGGCTCCCATATATTGTAAAACTTTCCCTCTGCTTCGGTACTCTGAAAGATCAAATTTAATCTAAAATTTCATAGAACCTTTCAGTTTTGGTATTTTACTCCTTCTGAAGAGTCTTCTTGAGTCAGTTCTGGAAAATTCCCAGGCACTGGATGCGCTCAGTCTGACCCAAGAAGGCAACAGATGCTGTTTCAAACTGCGACTGCAACTCAAATAGACACTCCTTTGAGCTCTGCTTCCACTCCTACCTGTGTCATTTTCCTTGATTTATCATCAAAAGACTGTTCCAATCACTTGATCCTGCCTGTTTTCTCTGATTTTAATTACTCATGCTATTATTTTTCTATTTATTTCAGTTACAGGGATTTGAGAAGCACCTGTGGCTAGAGAAGACAATGTGCTTCAGTCCAAATCCCCTCACATGTCTGATGGTTGATCAGTCTCCTTTTATTTGAGCTCTGAAGAGCAATGGGCAAGCCCTTTGGACCTTCTAAAGTCCATCATCATCACTAAGCAGCAGAGCTACATGACAAGGAAATAAAGCACCTTAATCCCCACTCTATTCTTCTACCTCATCCATGGTTTTTTAAGGGAGACTCCAAACCCACGGGGTAGTTCAGAGAACAAAGGACAAGTGCCAATTCCCAATGGACCTTAAGTTCTATTTTTAGAAATGATGCAACATCTCAGAGAAATGTGAGGAAAGGCATCACAAGGCTGATGTTGCATGACCATCCTGTTTTATTTTGCTCTTGTCATTTCTTCCCCCTCCCTCCTTGAAGATCCCTGTGCACCTTTGGGATGTGGGATGAAACTGGCCAAGGCCTGAGCAGGGCATGAAAGACCTGAAGGCAGGAATGGCTTCAAGCGAGACACACATTAAGGCAGCATCACAAATAGAACAAATGTGCTAAAAAAGACAGGAAAATACTCTAGATTTTATGAGAACATATGGGATTGCACTGCCACTGCAGGAGTTAGATGTGCTCAAAAAGGCTGCAAACTGTTTCAGCTGTACCAGCATCGGCCTCACCACCAATTACACAGATCCCAAATCACAGAGCAGGTTTCTACAAACCTCATCTCTGTGTGGCTTTTATTTTTACATAGCAACAGAGGAAACTCTGAGAAACTAGAGGCTCGGTGGAGCCGACAATAGGCAGTGCTAAAACCTGCAAAAGGACTGGCCAGCCGGCAGCACTCGGAGCCAGCGGCGGGGGAGAAGCCACACTGGGAACTACAAAGGCCAGTCCTGCAGGGACCGGGCTGCAGCAGAGGGGAGCAAAGCAAAGCTTTTTGTCCCTCTCAGCTCCTCCTCTTCAATGCACCGAGCTGAAGGGAAGTGAATAGGGAAGCATCCCAGTGAGAATTCCCCAGACATTCCAACTCTGGGGGGGGGGGGGAAGTCCACGTGTTGTGTCTTAAAATATTTCCATGCTTTGTTTAATTCTTGTACAGCAGTTTTATAAGGAAGGAATATGGTGTATCTTGCAGAGCTCTTTGGCTTAATTCACTAGCCTCTAGTGAAGAGGGTAGGGAATACAGGCATTCCACATACATTCCTTTCACACTGAGATTTTAAATCGTTAAGATTTTTAAGACATTAAGGCAGCTACAGGCAGAAGATGTGTGCTCCTGCCCATCAGCAAGCATAAACCTTCGAAAGCAACTCCAGCCCCTCCAGAACTGTGTGTTACTTTGCACTGAGGCCAGGGCAAGGACAGAAAGCAAACAGTAATTTGGAGGCATAAACGAGTGCATGGAGCTCAGCCCCGACCCTGCAGGTCTGAGTGCTTTACTCAGGTTTTGCTCTTCATTAATTCTAGTTTAGCCCTGGGAATAGAAATTACCTTTTGCCTGAGGCCCTGCCTGTGCTGTGCCTTCCCTGTTCATGATGCTGATCATTCTCCCTGTTCCCCAAATAGCTTCCAATCCTCCTGTTTCACAACTTCTAACTCCTATCCTCATCAGACCTTTTTTTTTGTTTTTTTCTTTTTCTCCTGGCTGTAAGACAGCAATGCAGTTTCTCTTTGCCTTTGCCTTCCTTGCTGGACCCAGAGCCTGTACTCCAAAGCCTTTTTGAGCAATATGAAGTTCCATGGTGACACAGTCATTCCCAAGTCTGCTTAATTACATGGACTGGACAGGCACAGAAGCCTTTTTGAGAAATGAGCAGGAATGTTTCCCTTCTAGATACGTGCAGAGCTCCAGCCAGTGTTCAAAAGAGGACTAAGAAATGTCAGGATTTCATATTAAAACTCACCTTTCCCAAGATGACCTCCCCAGGAACCAGCCACCTTCCTCATCAATTTAAGAACACCAGATGCTGCAGATAGAAAAAGCCCCTGAGGCTTTTAGTGAGTGAGCAAAGTGGACTGCACGTGCCAAGAGACAAGCAGGAGAGGATCAGAGAGTTCCACCTTTCAGTGTCTCTTTACACAGAGGGATGCTGGAGCAGAAGAGGACGCTGCCCCACTCCTAGATCCACCACCTCAGCCACCAACACTTCTCTCTCCATGCTGAGGAAGAGAAAAAAAGACCAGTGAGGGATGGGCACTCTCTGGGGTCATCAGGCCTTGCAATACAGGTGGTAAAGGTTGGTCACCTGCCTTTGGGCTGCAGGCAGGACCCTGTTCCCTACACAGTGTATATTCTATCTATATTCTGCCAGTCACAAGAAACTGATGCAGTTGTAGAAGCAGCACCTTACCCTTGAGGAATGAAGGCAGGAGGCCTCTTACTGCTGGGTTTTCATCCAGTTTTCATTTGTATCTGGAGCCATTTTAGATCTAGGCATCCCCACTGACATCCTCAGAAGTCTGCAGCATAGAGCAGCACCATTTTGTAAGACAAGAGCTGAATTTGACTTCGTACAACAGAGCTTTGAATACATGCACATCCCCAATAACAAAAAACAGGACCCTCACCCACAATAAAAGGTGAGATATTTAAAACTGATGAGTCAGTTTCTCAAGCAGCTTTCTGAGCATTTAAGTTCTCCTACCCTGCAACAAGCCATTCCTGCTGACCTGAGCAGACACCACTTCCTTTTCTCAGCACGACTGGTGACACAACATGCTCTTGCCAGAGATAACTGCTGGCTTTATTTTTATTGGAAATGATGGATGCAGCAGCTGATAAGTAAAAAAGGGCAATTTAGCCGTGGAGTGTTGCAGCATTTGTCATATAAGGACAGCGGATGATTTACGCTATCTTGAAAAATTAATTTTTAAGTGAGCGTCTCTGAAAAGCACCAGCCTGAGAGGGACTGGTTCCAGCTGTGAGGTCAGCAAGACAGCACTGCTAATATTTGTCTTAAAAAGTGTATCACTGAACAACTTGGTTATTGGGAGGCACAGGCAAAAAGTGAGGAGTACACAGAGGTGGGAAGGAGGAGCAGGATGTAGTTAGTGTTTTATCACACCAAGGTATCAGGGGATACTTAAGTGGCATGTGAGCTCCCAGCATCAGCAGAAAGGTGATGAGGCAGCTTCCAGCAGGCACCTCTGCCCAGGGGGTAGCGACCTTCACCCCGACCGTGAGTAATTGAATAAGGCACAGCGGGAGTTCTTCCTGCTGTGATCCTGCTCCATTATGAGTCCTTCCCCAGCCCACCGGCAACTCACTGAAGTCACAGGGCACTTAATTTGATTAGGCAGCTTTATCAATGAGGTCACCTGAGAGCTCCTGAGAGCGTCACCTTCAACATCCTGTAGGCTCATGTACCTGCACGTGTTTTTTGTGTGCATAAAGAAATGAGAAACTGGTTATTACAGAGCAGTCAATGAAGCGAGCACAAAGACAATGCTGTGCAGTGACCAAGCACTGGGACAGACTGTCCAGAGAGGGTGTGGAGTCTCCCAGAACTGTCACTGGAGATATTCCAGAACCGTCTGGGTGCGATCCTGTGCCACGTGCTCTGGGATGACCCTGTTGGAGCAGGGAGGTGGCACCAGATGACTCCACTGACCAGATGCCCCTTCCATCCTGACCCATCCCGCGATTCTTTGACCCCCACGCCCAAGGCCAGCACCACACCCACAGCGCACTGAATCCCTCCTGACAGGAAAATGAGGGAGAGCAATATGGGGCGGCCTCCATCCCTCCCTCCCTCCATCCATCCACGCACCCCGTTCCCCCGCTCGCCAAGCGGAGGCTCAGAGCCCCGCGGGGCAGCCCCAGCCCGTCCCGGGGACGCGGCTCTGGCGGGATCGGGAGCGGGGCGGAGCGGGGCCCGTCCCGCCCCGGCGGGGCCTCGGCAGCGGGCGGTGCTTCCGGGGCGAGCGGCGGCGCCTGCCCCGACCCGCCGGCGGTTCCCGCTCCCTCCCGTTCCCCGGGCGGCGGCTCCGCCGGGGCGGCGGCGGCGGGGCCGGGGCCGGGCTCGGGGCCGGTTCGCGGGGCTCGGGGCGGGCAGGCGGCGTTGCGGGCAGCCCGGAGGGGCCTGCGGAGCCTCGGCGGGAGCGGCCATGGAGGAGCCGGACACGGAGCCGCCGCTCGTGGTGCGGGACGGGCGGGACGGGCGGGGCGGGCGGGGCGGGTGCGGGGCCGGGGCCGCCGCTGACGGGCCGCTGTCCCCACACAGGTGGTGCCGGGCGCGGACCCGTCGGCCCGGCAGCTCTGCTTCGCCTGGGGCCCCGCCGAGGTGCTGGTGTGCGAGACACGCTTCGGCCGCGCAGGTGGGTCCCGGCCCCGATCCCGATCCCCATCCCGGTCCCGATCCCCATCCCGGTCCCGATCCCCATCCCGGTCCCGATCCCCATCCCGATCCCGATCCCCATCCCGGTCCCGATCCCGATCCCGATCCCCATCCCGGTCCCGGTCCCGGTCCCGGTCCCGGTCCCGATCCCCATCCCGGTCCCGATCCCCATCCCGGTCCCGGTCTCGGTCCCAGTCCCTGGCGCTGACGGGCTCTGTTGCAGACGCCGGGGAGGGAGCGCCCGGCTCGTCCCGCGTGTTCGTGGTGCGCAGGGATCAGGACATCTACATCCAGACCCTGCGGAAACTCTTCAATGAGTCGCACGGGATCTTCATGGGGCTGCAGCGCAGCGAGGAGGAGCTGGCGGGGAAGTCGCGGAAGGCGCAGTGAGTGTTTTGGGGTGCGGGAGCTTGGGGGGCACCTCTGCCCCTTCCCCAGCCGGGCCAGCGCCGTGGACTGATAAACACCCCAGTGAGGGATGTGCCACTGGCCAGGCTGCTTTGACCACCTCTGTAATCAGCAGCGGGACAGAAACAATGATCGTTTTGGGATGATGTTACAAAACAAGTCTCCGATCCTCCCAGTAACCACGCTGAACAAGTCCGTGCCAGTGTATAGTGCGGCACAGCCTCACTGATTCCAGCTGGAGCCACCCAAGTGCTGGGAGCCCCTGCTGCTCCAGAGAGACTTGCAAGGGCAGTAGGCATGAGACTAAAACTCCAACAGCTCTCTCCAACCAAAGCCTTTTTGCACTTGGCAGGTTGGTTCAAGTGAGTAAAAACTACCGGTCGGTGATAAGAGCCTGCATGGAGGACATGCACCAGGCAGCTGGTAAGTTGGTTTGTTCTCCTGCAAGAAAAGGAAGCACTAGTTGTGATGATAAAAGTAGCATTTCAATGGTAAGTTACTGCAACTACTGTGCTATAGCATGGGTAGGTTTCAGTAATTCTCAGGACTCTATTTCATGCCAGAGATTTCCAAATTAGTGTGTAAATCTGGTCAGAGATTATTTTTTTCCCCACAGTGATTTTTTGGGGACTTTAAGCCTTTTCATATCTTTGGCTCCAGTTTTACGGGAAACTGAATCCAGTTTAATAGCTTGCTTCCCCAGAAAGTGGGAAATGTTACTCATCTGTGCCCTGTAGCCATACCCAGATTTGCACAGGATTTATAAAACAAGTTTACAAAGCTCATTTAGGTCTGTGCTTGATGAGTAATCAGGTATTATTGTCTTATTTATGAGCCTAGAAGGGGCTGTCAAAGGTAAATGTGTCGCTCTTTGATTTTTCTTGTTCCCTCAGTTTCAACTCGGGACCCTGCCCTGCAAGGCCAGTACAGCACCCAGGTAACCTGCATTCATGTCACACAGTCACAGCTGAACATGGATCTCTGGCTGGTGAATTCACCAGGCCACCACTGTGACATAAAGCACTTCAGATTTAACTTATCTTAGTACAGTAGATGCAGTTCATGACCAAGAATAAAAGGAAATAAATAGTTCCCCTACTTCTAAAGATGTCCAACACCTCAATTCACTGCTGTGTCTTATATATTTAGTGTTATAGGTGTGTTTTCTTGTCATCTCAAAGCTGACTGACAGAAAAGTTTCAGACTTGCCTGTCTGAACCTTCACCTCTCCAACACTCAGATTCCAACCAGCTGCATCTGAGCCTCACAGCAAGCTCTGGGTGTCCACTGTGAGCTGTCAGACAGCACAGGAGTGTTCTGGGAGGAGCAGAGTGCTCACAGCAGTTTTGTCCTGTTACCTGCAGTGATGTTTCTCCTTTGGCCTTTCTTACTTCTCTGTATTATTAATCTTAGAAGTGCCAAAGGCTGACAATAGCACTGGTTGGTCTTGCCCACTGCTGACTGATTATTACGGCATTTTGGAACACAAACAGCATCAATACTTTCTGAGCTGAATGCATGGGGAGAAGACACGGTCTTTAATTTCTATCTCTGAAATGTCAATATGACATCTTTCTGTACAAACTGAGTTTAACTGATTGCTATGGACAGCAGATGCCTTTGTGTGGTAACAAAACCCAACTGGAATAATTACTGACTCTGAAACCTGGCCCTGCTTTTCCTCAGGTTTCCATTCTCTCTGCGATGGAGCTGATCTGGAACCTCTGTGAGATACTATTTGTTGAAGCAGCTGCAGGTGAGCAGGGAACTATCCTGGTGTTAAGACTGAAGAGTTTTGTGTTTGCATACATATTTGTTTAAAATGTCATAGTTTAATATGTTTTAGAGATATGTTGAGTGTCAATAAACCCTTTAATACCCCTTCTGCCTCAGTTAATTGCCTTCTTCATATTGAATTATGTCATGCTATTCAGTTTGCCCTCTACTTTTCCCCCTCCTGCATGGTACACTGTGATTTAAATTGTCTCTTTTATCAGATAGGTTATGAAGAGAAGACGTATCAAATGTTGCTGCCAATGTATTTGACTTCTAAGCATAAACACATATTTTAGCACCAAATATGTCAATGCCAGCTGACATTGATACAGCTCTGATACAACTCCTTTAACTTTAGGATGCCATTTTTGAAGTCAGTTTGTTTACACCAGCATTTTAAGTAGTAAATAATTTTTTTAAGGAAATCAGATTATGCAAATAAATACGCTACTTGTACAGTTCCAGAATTCAGAAGAGATTCACAAATTACTTAATCTGAAGAAAAGCTAATCACCTAATGCCAAATTTCTTCCTCATATTCAGTTAATAGTAATGAACTGACATTAAAATAAACAGAAATATTCTATTTGTCTTTTGGCATTGCAGGATTTATGATCTGAGTCACTCACCTTTTATTTCTTCAAGTAACTGTTTTGGGTTTTCTGCTGGACCTCGTTGCTGCTCTGTCTAAAATTTGCCACAGGGAAACCTGTCAGCAGCGGGTGCTCCCACAGCCTTGTTGCTTAGGGAGCTCTGTAACTTGAGTGTGGGACGTAGAAATCCAACCAGTGAACCCCATCTAATGATGTCCCACTGTTAAGGTTTGTGAGAGAGCAGTTTGGGAACAAACAGGTGGGAACTAAGAGGGAAACCTTGTCTGCACACAGCTGGGCTCCTCCTGCTTCGCCTCCTGGACTGGGTGCGACTCCACGTGTGTGATGTGGACAGCATGGTCCGGGAAGTTCTGAGCAGTGAGAACCCCTCCAAACACAAGCTCTTCTGGAACGTGGTGAGTGCCATCACCTACAGGATTCTTAAACAAAGAGAATTCGTGCCTGTGTGCTTTCCTTCCTCTTCCCTACTTGACAGTAGACCGCACCTCAGAAGCTGGGACGCTGCTGCTCTCTGCCCGTGTAGGTTTTAAGGTGAAGCCATTCTGATCATCCTGCCCCTCACTGCCATCCTGAGCCTCCCACTTTCATGACCCCTAGAGCTCAAGACTTACACTGTGTATTTGCATTAGCAGTTTAAGCATTTTAACTCCACTCCACTTGCCTGAATCACAGGTTAGAATTCCCCTCTGATGCCCTTCCTGGGTGCTCATGGACAGGTGGATTTTGCAGGTGGATGTCTTTGTGCTCCAAGGCCGGATGGACGAAGCACGGCACTTGCTCTCCAAGGAAGTCACTGCCAATCCCACCTCAATGAACATGTACAAAATCTTGGATGACTTGATGAAGAAGATGCCCATGCCCAGTGTATGTACAAAGCGGATTTTTTCGCGCAGTTCACTGGGAAAAGAGCCATTTCTGATGTGTCCCCTGTAACAAATTATTCCCCATTAGAACATCTCACTCTTATTCCTTTACAGTGACAATATTTGTATTCTCAAATTGCCCAAAGACCCAACAATTCGGGTAAAAGCCTGTTGGGTGACAAACCAGTATAGAAGGATCACGGGTGGCCCCATGTTTAGCTTTTTATCAAGAACCACTGTGAGTTCAGCCCAAGTGCCTGTTGTGATTTGACTTGGTGTTTCACTTATTCCATGTTTCTTACCCTCTGTTCAGCTTGGCAACACCCAGACACTGACTGAGCTGGAGCTGAAATGGCAGCACTGGCACGAGGAATGTCAGAGGTTTCTACAGGATGGGACTTTCGCTTCCAATCCCCACATGGAGTCCATCTGCAAGGTGTGTTTTGGCTGGGAAGGAAGGAAGCTGTGGACAGGTATTGAATCCATCCTTGTGGATTTCAGGAGCTCAGTGTAGCCATAAGTAACTTTAATAATATGCTGGATGATGTGTTCATTAAATCAGGAGATTTCAGGCCAGTCTAATGTCCTGTGTTCTTGGTTTGCAACAAACTTTGCAAGCCTGGGCAGATCCGTTGCTCCTCCTGTCCAAGGCCATAAGGCTGATGAGGAAACTGGGCTCTGAGAAGGATCTTTGTTATTTAATTTTGATCAAATCCTCACCTTTGCAAAGCAGGAGTGATGCCCCTGGAGAGTTACAGTGAATCTGCAGAATTACTCCTGTGTTTTTATCCTGTTAGATCCTGGTGGGAGATGAGGATGCTATCCTGGAGAAGAAGGAGCTCATGACCACATGGTACCACTTTCTG